ATGGCAAAGAATTTTGAATTAAAAGAGAAGGCATTTTCGATTTCACAAAGACGAAAATGACAAAACTAGTAAATGAAGAACTAAAGCTATAGCTAAACAAAGACAATACATTTTTACCCAGATAGATTGATAACTATTGTACTAGAGGTCGTTAGAAATTTGGTATACGGGGCCGGCGCTGTGGTGCAGTGGGTTAACGCCCTGGCCTGAAGCATCCCATATGGGCACCGGTTCTAGTCCCAGCTGCTCCTCTTTCAATCCAGCTCTCCTGGCCTGGGAAGGCATTGGAAGATGTCTCAAGTCGCTGGGCCCCTACACCCACAAGGGAGACCCGGAAGAAGCTCCTGGCTTCGGACTGGCGTAGCTCCAGCCATTGCAGCCAATTGGGGAGTGAACCATCGGATGGAAGACCTCTCTCTCTCTCTTTCTGCCCAACCTCCTCGCTCTGTGTAACTCTGACTTCAAATAAATAAATAAATCTTTAAAAAAAAAAGAATATTGGTAGAAATAGGAAAGGTCCATGATAATTCACCAAGAAAAACAAAATTGAAAGTGACTGACAACCACTGATCTTTTAAAAGAACTTGAAACAATACAGAGAACACAGTTGCCAGAAAAAGATTCTTAAATATATCTATGGCCTGAGAATTCCACACTCACTTCTGTAAATAATAAATTATTTCAACTTCTGGTTTATGATAATAAAAAGATAAAAATTTTTGTAATTAATACACAGTTATTCTTAAGTGTTGAAATTTAACTGAAATGTGATCCCTGTTAAACATAAGAGTAGGAATAAGAGAGGGAAGAGATGTACAATTTGGGACATGCTCAAGCTGACTTGCCCCAAATGGTAGAGTTAGAAACATACCAGGGGATTCCAATTCAATCCCATCAAGGTGGCATGTAGCAATGCCATCTCACCAGTCCAAGTGATCAATTTCAGTTCACAATTGATCATAATGAAAGGACTAAGAGTCAAAGGGAGCACAAAAACAAGTCTAGTACCTGCTAATACTAACTGATAGAATAAATAAAGGGGAGAGTGATCCAACATGGGAAGTGAGATACTCAGCAGACTCATAGAATGGCAGATGTCCTAAATAGCACTCTGGCCTCAGAATAAGCCCTAAAGGCATTCGGATCTGGCTGAAAAGCCCATGAGAGTATTTCAGGCATGGAAAGCCAAGACACTCTGGCAAAAGATCTCTGTGAGTGAGATCCCAGTGGAAAGAACAGGTCTTCAAAGAAGGAGGTACCTTTCTCTGAAGGGAGGAGAGAACCTCCACTTTGACTATGACCTTGTCTAAACAAGATAAGAGTCGGAGAACTCAGAGGGCTTCCATAGCCTTGGAAACTCATGACTGGTGCATAGGGAGATTACTGATGCATAAACAGGAGTGTCAATTTGTAAAGTCAACAACAGGAGTCACTGTGTGCTTACTCCTCATGTAGGATCTCTGTCCTTAATGTGCTGTACATTGAGACTTAATGCTATAATGAGTACTCAAACAGTATATTTCGCTTTGTGTTTCTATGGGGGTGCAAACTGTTGAAATCTTTACTTAATGCATACTAAACTGATCTTCTGTAAAAAAAAAAAAAAAAGAATTTATCAATTCCCAACTTGACTCTCACTGGGATTAAACATGACAATAGGTCTGATCTGATTTCATCATCATTTAAAAAATCATCTATTATTTTTCACTTTATGTTTGTGTGGGAGCAAACTGTTGAAATCTTTACTTAATGTATGCTAAACTGATCTTCTGTATATAAAGAGAATCGAAAATGAATCCTCATGTGAATGGAAGGGGAGAGGGAGTGGGAAAGGGGAGGGATGCGGGGGAGAGACGATATGGGGGGGAAGCCATTGTAATCCATAAGCCGTACTTTGGAAATTTATATTCATTAAATAAAAGTTTAAAAAAAATTTTTGGTCATTGTTGTTTCCCCCTCCACACTCCTCCATAAGTCAAAAGTAATTCAAGAGGCCAGCACTGTGGTGTAGCCACCTGCAGTGCCGGTATCCCATATGGGCAACAGTTCTATTCCCAACTGCTCCACTTCCGATCCAGCTCTCTGCCATGGCCTGGGAAAGCAGTAGAAGATGGCCCAAGTCCTTGGGCCCCTGCACCCATGTGGGAGACTGGGAAGAAGCTCCTGGCTACTGGCTTTGTATCGGCTCAGCTCCAGCAATTGCGGCCATATCGGGAGTAAACCAGTGGATGGAGGACATCTCTCTCTCTCTCTCTCTCTCTCTCTCTCTGCCTCTGCCTCTTTGTAACTCTGCCTTTCAAATAAATAAATAAATCTTAAAAAAAAAAAAGTAAACCAATTGCAGTCATCTCAAAGCATAGCACCAAAGCACTTGAATTATTTCACTGGTTAGGACACTCAAGTCCCTCACTGGATACCTTGGTTCCAGCTCCTATTTCTTTTATTTTTTATTTTTTTTTTTTGTTATTTTTTTTTTGACAGGCAAAGTTAGACAGAGAGAGAGAGAGACAGAGAGAAGCTCCCATTTCTAACTTCCTCCTAATGCAGACCCTGGGAGGTAAGGGTGGTGGCCAAAGTTAATTGCATTCCTGCCACTGACATAGAAGACCTGGATTGAGTTCTCCGCTCTCAACTTCTGCCTTGCCAGGCCTAGTGTTGAGGGCATTTGTGGAGTGAACCATATTTTTTTTAAAGACTTATTTATTTATTTGAAAGTCAGGGTTACACAGAGAGAGAAGGAGAGGCAAGGAAGGAAGAAGTCCTCCATCTGCTGATTGACCCCCCAACTGGCTGCAATGGCTGGACCTGAGCAATTGAATCCAGGAGCCAGGAGCCTCCTCCCGGTCTCCCACGTGCGTGCAGGGGCACAAGGACTTGAGGCATCTTCTACTCTTTCCCAGACCATAGCAGAGAGTGGCATGGAGGTGGAGCAGCCGGGACCCAAACCGGCGCCGCCATGGGATGCCCACACTGCAGGCGGGGACCCTATCCACTACACCACAACACTGGCCCTGAACCAGATATTGAGAGTGATCTTTTCTCTCTCTCAAATAAATAGATTTTTAAAATTTTTATGAAAGTTATACAAGCTTCATGAGTTTCATATATACAGATTTAAGAACACAGTGGTACTTTCCCCCTACTGTCCCTCCTGCCTATGTTCCAGGTTTTAAAATTAAAAAAAATTCTACCTATTAATACATAGTGACAGCAAAACTAATTTAGGTGTATTTATGACCAAAAAGAATCTGAAAATTAAAGTTACAGAAATAAAAAGCATGAATTATGATGAGCTTAAATAAGAAACACCATTCTGTAAGTCAATTAAAGTTTCAATTTTAACTAAAATATTAATTGAAAACTCTGTAAAATCAAGAAGGTCCGAACAATACATACACATAAAGTTAGTCTTTAAAAGGACTAATTAATTTTAAGCACTAGTTGCAACTTCAGATCTTAACAAGTTTCCATTTGGAACGCCAAACAATATTTTATTAAAAAAAAAAAAAAAACTCCCTTAGCTTAAAGAGGAAGTGAACAGAAAAAAACTGTTAAAATGAGGCCTAAAGTAATAGCTAACATTAGGGGTTTGGGGTGCATTAACTCATTTAGTCCTCATAACAATGCCATGAGGTAGGTTCTATGATTATTCTCATTTTGCAGCTGAGCAAACTAAAGTGTAACCAAATTGAGTAATTTGCTCAAGGACATCCATTACCATGCGTCACCTCTTTCTCATGGACATTTTTAGGTGTTAGGAAAAGAGACAAAGGTTTCTCCTCACACTGTCTGGAGTACATCCGTAGCTCTCTTGGATTCCCTGCTCGGTCTTTCATAATGAACCCACCCTGCCTTATGAGCCTAGCGGTTCACTCACAGGTGTCTCCTGGTGTTTTGATCTGCTATTCACATGGTCTCACTATGGGTCTCATTCAGAACCGACGTGGGGAGTTATTAGGGAGCATGGCGATAGTATCTATACTCTCAAACAGTCTGACTTGGATTGGGCTGCCTGTTCTGGTTTATTCAGTCTCAATAAAAGTAAAATACGAAAAATTCATTTCACATGTTCTTCAAAGTGATAAAAAGCTTTTATTTTTATGTGCAATTATTATTAAATCCACAGTATGTAGTGCTTTCATAAGGAGCACAAGCACTTTTCATATTCTAAAGCCAGATGAAGAACCAAAAATGAAGGAAGTTACGTGATTTACTTAATGTCTTAAGGTTCTTCCAACTCAGAGCCTTAACTAAGACCTAGGGCTCCAGGCCGGTGTGTAAGTGTTCTTTTTTCATATTTTTAAGAAAGAGACAGGGGCTGGTGTTTTGGAACAGCAGTTTAAGTTGGTGTCTGGTATGCCAGCATCTGGTATTAGAGTTCTGCTTCTGAGCAGAGCTCCCTGCTAATGTGCCTGGGAAAGCAGCAGATGATGGCTCAAGTACATGGGATACCCAAATGGAGTTCAAGGCTCCTGGCTTTAGCCTGGCCCAGTCCTGCCTGTTGCAGACATTTAAGGAGTGAAGGAGCAAACTGCAGATACGCTTATCTCTCTCCTTTTTTCTCTGTAACTTTGCCTTTCAAATAAAACAAATCTTAAAAAACAAAATGAGCGAGGGTGGGCATGGTGACACGGTGGGTTGTTTCTGCCAGCAATGCTAGTATCCCATGTTGGCACCAGTTTGAGTCCTGGCTGCTCCACTTCTGATCCAGCTCTCTGCTAACGCACCTGGGAAAGCAGTGAAACATGGCTAAATTCTTTGGGACCCTGCATCCACATTGGAGACCTGGATGAAGTTCCTGGATCCTGGCTTCAGCTTGGCCCAGCCCTGGCCGTTGTGGCCTTTTGGGAGGTGAACCAGAGGATGGAAGCTCTCACTCTCTCTGAAATTCTGCCTTTCAAATAAATCAATAAATTGTTTAAAGAAAAAAATCAATTATATTAAAATTTATAACTAATAAGTTATTTAAATGACTGGCAATATACACACAAAGATCTTACCTGTAAGAGCCATACATTACTTTCTGGCAGTCAACTAATAAAAATTTCTGTTCCATTTTTCCATGGAATTTAGCTCCTGTTTTTGAAAGATAATCTTGTCCTTTCACTGTCCGTACTCGAACATTCTAGTGCATAAAATATAAAGTTCATAAAAAATTATGGATAGAAAGAGGCATTTTGAGAAGAAAAATATGCACTTTTATGTAATATAAAACCTTAATATCAAAACCTTATAGAAAAATCCATTTTTACTTGAAAAAAATTAAGTGAAAGAAAATTTAAAAACATTTATCCCAAATATGTCAATGAAAATAATTACTTAACATACATTTTAACATAATTTTTTTTTTTTTTTTTTTTTTTTTTTTATTTTGACAGGCAGAGTGGACAGTGAGAGAGAGACAGAGAGAAAGGTCTTCCTTTGCCGTTGGTTCACCCTCCAATGGCCGCCGCGGCCGGCGCGCTGCGGCCGGCGCAGCGCGCTGATCCGATGGCAGGAGCCAGGAGCCAGGTGCTTTTTCCTGGTCTCCCATGGGGTGCAGGGCCCAAGCACCTGGGCCATCCTCCACTGCACTCCCTGGCCACAGCAGAGGGCTGGCCTGGAAGAGGGGCAACCGGGACAGAATCCGGCGCCCCGACCGGGACTAGAACCCGGTGTGCCGGCGCCGCTAGGCGGAGGATTAGCCTAGTGAGCCGCGGCGCCGGCCTCATTTTAACATAATTTAAATAAAGGGTAGCATTTTACATTTATACAGAATGGTTTCATAAGTCACTTAGGATCCCACTATTAAAAAAATCCTTTTAGAATACAGTATCCTGATGACAAGATATCTGAAATAAAAATCTATTTTTCTTCTGAAAAGTCAAACAGAACTAAAATCAATACTATGTCATTTGGTTTTAATAAGCAACATTGTTATATCACAAGATCACCTGAGTCAGTGGTTTCAAACTTATGCATGCAAAACTGGAACATTAAGAATGATGGGTAGGCAGGGGGGATTTGATTTTGTGGTTAAAATTTCAGTTGGGATGCCCATATGACACATCACAGTACCTGAGCTCCAGTTCCAGTTCTGCTTCCAATTCTAGCATCTTGTTAATGTATACCTTGGGAAGCAGCAGGTGACAGCACAAACATGTGGTCCCTGCCCACACACATGGGAGATCTGAATTGAGTTCATGGCACCCGGCTTTGGTCTGTCTCAGCCTTAGCCTCAGCCATTGCAGACATGCGGGGTGTGAACCAGAAGATGAAAGTCCTATCTGTCTGTCTACCTCTGTGTTTCCCAATAAATAAAATAAAATAAAATAAAATAAAGGCAAGCAAAGTTAACTCAAACTTAAGGAGCAGAATTACAAAACAATCATCAAAATACATTTTCTTTTTGCAGTAATCTTCCTTGACTGAGATAAAAATGGCACACAAAAAAAAAAATGGAAGAAAAAAAGAATTCTTACCCTGAGACGCTGTATTTGACATCCCTGTTTTTCAGTCATATCTAAAAAATGATTAAAATTGGACTCATCAAGCAGAATGTATACAGATATCCCACGAGTCGATGCCTCCAGTATTTCTTTGAAAATATCCACATCTGTGAATATATCCATTACTAAAGCAATGACCTGTTAAAAGAATATAAAATAATTTTAAATATCTAAAGAGAGAAAGATTAAAAAATTGTTTAACTTCAGTAAAATTTGGACACCACAGAAAAAAACTAAATACATGAATACATAAATATAAATCTTTACAAAAATGTTATTACAGGCTTCTAAAATAGAAGGCAAAAATATTGTGAAAGGGGTCAGTGTTTTGGTGTAGCAGGTTAAGCCACCGCCTTTGATGCCTGCATCGTGCCAGTTCTAGTCCTGGCTGCTCCACTTCTGATCCAGCTCCTGCTAATGTGCTTGGGAAAGCAGCAGAAGATGGCTTCAGTGCTTTGGCCAGCCACATGTCAGACCAAGATGAAGTCTTAAGCGTCTGACTTCTGCCTGGTCCAGCGCTGGACACTATGGCCATTTGGGCAGTGAACCAGTGGATGGAAGAATTCTGTTTTTCCCTCTATGTCTGCAACTCTGCTTTTCAAATAAAATAAATCTTATAAAATTTTTTTAAAACAAACAAGTGTCTATATACAACTTTTTAACACTAAGTAATTTTTCAGATTAGCTTTATTTTAGGGAGAATCTGCATTTCAGTGTGATTTTCAGTAAAAAGACTATCCAAACTATGGTTTACAAGGTTGCTTGTTTGATTGACAGAAAGGACAGGGAGGAAATCAGCGTGCCATTTTTTTCTCGGGAGACCTCTCCATTGGAAAGTGGGATTTCTGAAACTATTTTTAAAGAGAAAATGGTCTTGGAAAACTGGGATGGAAAAAACAAATCCAGAAATAGAAATATCTAGGAAGGACAAAAGAAGGAGAAAGGCAACAAGGGAACTTGAAGATGAGAAAATTAAATCTATGAGCCTATAATCAGCTTAGCAGACACAATCATCAAAAGAAAAAAAATGGACTGAAAAAGGTGTATGATTGAAAAGAGAAATGCAAGAGAAAATGTGCTAAGGAACAGGTCCCTAAGATGGAAAGAATCCATGCTAATTGTTGGAAACAGCTCATTAATGACTCTGTAAGGGTGAAATAATGCCAGAAGAAGAAAAAAAATGCCTAATTTACTGAATACCTACTATGTGCCAGGCATGTTTGTTGACCACTTCTTATGTATCTGACAAGAAACCAGAAACCCTGCCCTTGTTAAGCTTACATTCTCCTCCAGGAAGAATAAACATAATAAAAAAATTAAACGGTGTATAACTTACAAGATCCTAAGATTTGTGGGAAAAATAGAGGAGGATCAGGGTTCTTAAAAACTGAGAATAAAGAGTTGGGCTTCTTAGAACTGGTGTGCAAGAGTGTCCTCTGAGTGAAGACGTAAAGAAATGAAGTTAACCACATCAATATCCTGGGGAAGAGTATTCTTAGTAGAGCAAACCACAGTTCTGCTGTGGCACACTGAAGAAGGTGGGAAAGACACCAACAAGCAAGGATTTTCACAAGGCCTTGGAAGCATTATAAAGCCTTCATTGTCTTCATTCCGAGTAAAACTGTAAGCTACGAGAAGGTTCTAAGTTGAAGTATTAACGTGATCCGATTATGTTTGAAAGGAATTTTTCAAGCTATTGTGAGAGGGTTCTAAGCTGAAGTATTAACATGACCCAATTATGTTTGAAAAGAATTGTTGAAGCTATTGTGTTAAGAACTATCGCAGCATTTCAAGTGGGAGGCAATGGCTAGGACCAGGATGGGAAAGTGAGAAATGGAGGGAAATGGATAGCTACTGGATTACCTGTGAGCCAAAAGAGCTTGCAGAAAGTCTGAATGTGAGGTAAGAGAGGAAAAGGGAGAAAAGATGATGAATGTAAGATGTTTAGCCTCACCTACACGGAGGGCAGAATTGTCAACAGCTGCAGTATATTTTAGGTACAATGTTAAAAAAAGAAACATTGAGTGTAAAGGGCCTAGATGTCCACTTGGAATACAGAGTAGAAAAGTCTGGGCCAGAGGTTAAATCAGGTGTCAGTGGTACAAAGATGATAATTAAATCTAAATCATCAAGTGAGAGAGGGGAAAAAGACCAAAGACCACGTGTTGCGACACTCCATAGTGGAAAGATCTAAAAGAAGACAAAGCACTAGCAAAGGAAACTGAGGAAATAAAAGTGGACAGCATCCCAAAGGCAAGTAAAGGCAGTGTATCAAGGAGGAGGGTGAGCTCAAAAGGATCAGATCATACTGCTGGACCAAGTGCAGTTCTTCAGTGGGGTAGTAACACCATAAGCATTATTGGAAGGTGTTATGGACAGAATGGGAGGAAAGACACTGCGTATAGCAGGTATGGAGAAAACTATTTGTGTATAATTTGGCTACACCAAAGAGCAGTGGAGCAGTGACTGTAGGTCAGTGTAAGTCAAGAGAAGCTGTATTTTCGTTCTGGTTTTGGATGAGAGAAATAACCACACATCTTTGTGTTAATGAAAGGCTCAAGTGAAAAGCGAAAATGATGCAAGAGAAGGAGGAGGTAAGAAGGGGGGATTGGAGAGCAATGCCTTTGAGTCAACAAAGAGGAACAGAATGTAGTGCAAATATAAAGGAATTGTAGCACGGAGAGAAAAGCCCAATAAATGACCATCTGTAATATGAGATCGGAGGTCACGTGTGGAAGTGTAGATGCTATTAGAAGAATGGCTGTGGAAGTTCTCTTCTGAATGTTTTGATTTTCTTAGTGTGGTTGGAAGCAAAGTCTTCAATTGAGACTGAATACCTAGAAATTTGAGGAAAGCAGTATTTAGCATAGTTACGTAGAAAGGCAGGAAAGGAAATAAATTAAGGAAATAAGCAAGATTGCTGTTTAGCATTTAGACATCACCAGGTTATATATTTATTTACTTATTATTGCCATGTTATAAATTTAATATTGGACCAGTTAATATGGTTGTGAATTTTTCGTCAACCTAGTTCACCTTCAGAGGTGCAGGCATGGAGTAGGCTGACAACTGTATTTAAACATGGTTGTAGTTCTTTTTTTTTTAAATTTATTTTATTTATTTGAAAGACAGATTTATAGAGAGAGGTAGAGACACAGAGAGAGGTCTTCCATCCGCTGGTTCACTCCCCATATGGCCACAACGGCCTGAGCTGAGCAGATCCAAAGCCAGGAGCCAGGAGCTTCTTCCAGGTCTCCCATGTGGGTGCAGGGGCCCAAGGACCTGGGCCATCTTCTACTGCTTTCCCAGGCCATGGCAGAGAGCTGGATCAGAAAAGAAGCAGCCGGGACTAGAACCAGTGCCCATATGGGATGCCGGTGCTTTAGGCCAGGGCTTTAACCTGCTGCAACACAGGACTGGCCCCTTGGCTGTAGTTCTGACACCAAAGTTTAGCATCCTGAGAGAGAGAGCAGGGGAATTGAGGGTATATGTAAGGAGGAGAGGCTGAAATGTTGGGTCACTCGGTTATAGAGGAGAGAGGCTGTCATGAATGTGAGAGGAAGTAAAATGAGGTCCTGCTGGGATTGAATGATAGATATTAGAGAACTGTTGCTAAATTTTTAAGTTTATGGGACTGGCACTGAGGGATAGCAGTAAAGCTGCTGCCTGCAACGCTGGCATCCCAGCTACTCCACTTCCCATCCAGCTCCCTGCTGAAGGCCTGGGGAAAGCAGAAGAGGATAGCCCAAGTGCTTGAACCCTTGTACCCATGGGGAGACCTGGAAAAAGCTCCTGGCTCCTGGCTTAGGCGTGGCCCAGCCCTAGCCATTGCAGCCATCTGGGGAGTGAATCGGAATATGGAAGATCTCTCTCTCTTTCTCGCTCTCTCTTTCTGCATGTCTCTCCCTCTCTCTCTAATTCTGATTTTCAAATAAAAAAAATAAGTTTAATAGGTATCTTTTCTTTTATGTACACATTAATATAGTTACAGATTAAAACACCATGGGGCCGGCACTGTGGTGCAGCAGGTTAACGCTCTGGCCTGAAGCACCGGCATCCCATATAGGCGCCGGTTCTACTCCTGGTTGTTTCTCTTCTGATCCAGCTCTCTGCTATGGCCTGGGAAAGCAGTAGAAGATGGCCCAAGCCCTTGGGCCCCTGCACCCGCGTGGGAGACCTGGAAGAAGCTTCTGTCTCCTGGCTTTGTATTGGTGCAGCTCCAGCCGTTGTGGCCATCTGGGGAGTGAACCAGCAGATGGAAAACCTCTCTCTCTGCCTCTCCTCTCTCTGTGTAACTCTGACTTTCAAATAAATAAATTAATTAAAAAAAAAAAACACCTTGCCCTAGGGTTAGCATTGTAAAATGGGAGGTAAAGCCAGTGTCTGTGACACCAGCATTCTGTATGGGCACTGGTTCAAGCCCTGGCTATTCCACTTCCAGTTCAGCTCCCTGCTCATGTTCCTGGGAAAGTACCAGAAGATGGCTCAAATACTTGGGCCCCTGCTCCAATATGGGAGTCTGAGATAAGGCTCCTGGCTCCTGACTCTTGGCTTTAGCTGGCCTAGCTCTGGCTATTGTGGTCACGTGGGGAGTGAACCAGCATATGGAAGTCCTGTCTCTCCTTCTCTCTTTGTATCTCTGCCTTTCAAATAAATAAAATAAATATTTAAAAAAAAACTTCCCCTGTATTTATTTTATAATATAGGAAACAAAATTGGCCATTACTGGTCATTGTTAAAGTTGGTTGACTATATGTAAGGGTAGTGTTAAAAAATTTTTAAAAAAGTATATTTGTTAGTGAGAGATACCAGAGACAGAAAGCTAGAAACGTAAATGAAAGTGGAAGTCAGATAGGGATATATGAATTAAGTTATCTTAATGCAGGATCTGCATGTTATAGGCTAATGATACTAATGCTAATGATAGATATGATTGGGAGTCAGTGCCCTACGTACATCCAAAACAAAATCATGAGAGGAAAGAATAGCTAGGAAATGATCCTTGGAAAGGTTTCTTACATGTATACTTAAACAGCCATAAATTCAGACAAGAACAGTGTCAGAAAGATGACAGAGGGGCTGGCATTGTGGTGCAGAGGGTTAGCTGTCATCTATGATGCGGCATCCCTTATGGATGG